GGAGCCGAGTAGATTTGAAAGCAGGAACACAGGCAGAGTTTGGGTTTTCCAGAAAGCAGGGGGATTAGAACAGACACATTTCTGGCTTGAGCGGCCCCTGAGTCACTCTGCCTTAGAAGTAAGGTGCTGGCCTGAACAACCCATGAAGACCCCTCCAGCCTTTCACTTTGGGGCTTGGTGTGAGTTCTTTGCTTTCATCTTCAAACATACGCAGTGAATAATAGATTTTGAATGTTTGCTGGGGGAGGCACCCCTTCTATAAGCTCCATAATCCTCATCGTGATACAGGTTGATGATTAATGTCTGTATCCCTAACTAGAACAGATTTCAAGAGGGCAGGCACTGTCGGTCTCGTTCACCACCATATCCACAGCCCAGAACATCTGCTGCTCCAAGCAGACGTCAATACATGTCACCAAGCAAATGAATTCACACGATAAAAAGCTCAGGATCATGACACTCAAGAAGTAACTCTGAAAGGCATGAGAAAACAGGCAACCACAGGAACAGGGGTGGAATCCCAGGCTCCCTGAAGCACTGTGTTCACTGCATTCCTTCCACAAATACATACTGAGCACCCACGATGTGCCAGGTGGCCCTAAGTCCTGGGACCATGGTGGAAAACAGGCCAGGCACGGTGGCTCACGCCTGTAATCCTAGCACTTTGGGAAGCCAAGGCGGGTGGATTGCCTGAGCTCAGGAGTTCAAGACCAGCCTGGGCAACACCATGAAACCCCATCTCTACTAAAATACAAAAAATTAGCCCGGTGTGGCGGTGTGCACCTGTAGTCCCAGCTACTCGGGAGGCTGAGGCAGGAGAGTTGCTTGAACCCGGGAGGCAGAGGTTGCAGTGGGCCGAGATCACGCCACTGCACTCCAGCCTGGGCGACAGAGTGAGACTCCGTCTCCAAAAGAAAAGAAAACAGAAAAACAAGTTCCCCACCCTCACAGAGCTTAAATTCTAGAAGAAGGAAATAAACAGTAAATAAACAAAAATGGGTAGGTATAGAACACGTCAGGGGGTAGGAGGTGCTGCTGAGAGAAATAACTGAGGAAATGAGGACTGGAGAGGACCTGGGGAGGGTGGCAGGTGCTACTCTTGAGAAAGGGATTAGGGGAGGCAATTCAACAGAGGCTGGAAGGAAGTGATGGAAATTAGGGGGAGAACAGGGTGGAGACCTGAAGAAAGGGCGCTCCAACAGAAGGAACCGCAAGTGAGGGAGAACGGGCTTGGTGTGTTGAACAAGGAACAGCAAGGATGCCAGTATGACTGAAAGAGAAGAAACAAACGGGATTACAGAAGGAGAGGAGGCCAGACAGGGTCAGAGGCCAGGTGATGTGAAACACAAGGCCATCAGAGCAGAGGAATGACGCGGCAGGAACTGCGTTGTAAAGGGATCATTAGAGCCACTGTGGAAGGTTGAAAGAGAGCAAGAATGGAATCAGGAAGTCAGGGCCAGGCTCAGTGGCTCACACCTGTAATCCCAGCACTTTGGGAGGCCGAGGCTAGCAGATCACTTGAGGTCAGGAGTTCGAGACCAGCCTGGCCAACATGGTGAAACCCTGTCCCTACTAAAAATACAAAAATTAGTTGGGTGTGGTGGCACACGCTTGTAAGCAGCCCAGGTAGGAAGTCATCAGCCTGTGGGTAGTATTTTCAGTTACGAGACAAGATGAGGTCACTAATGGAGGAAATGTGGAAAAAGGACGAGGTGCTCTGAGGACTGAGGCCCAGGGATGCCATGGCTGGGGCGGATCCAGAGGACCCAACAGAGGAGACCAGAAGGCACAGAGAAGAAAAGGGGCAAGGTGTGGGGTCCCCAAGCAAAGCATTTCAAGAGCATCACTGCCCACAGGCAGCACACCAGCACAGTGTGATGGTACCAACCAGATCTGAGCTTAAACCCCACTTACCAACTGTGCAATCTTGGGCAAGTCACCTCTCTCTCTGAGCCTCGGTTTCCCCACCTGTCTAACAGGGGTGCGGGTAGTACTTGACTCCTTGGGTGTTTGGGGGATTAATAAGCTTAGCTCGGTACCTGGCACACAGTGAGTGCCCACAGATTGTGGGGCTGCAGCTGTTAGCATCTGGGAGACTCCTGCCCAGGTTCCAAGACCACAGACTCAGGTTCGATCCTAGTACCAGCCAGTGAGATTCATGGAAAGAAAATCTGTGTGGTACCGGCACCACTGAAACTAGGAATCCTGATCTCTTCTGCCCCAACCTCACCCAGAGACCAGCCAACTTCTCATATCCTTAGTCACAAGAGCAGAGCTTCCTGCACTGTGGGAATGGAGATGATTTTAGATGGTAAAGGAACACCCCATAGAATGAGTGAATCACAGAGTGAGCACGTCAGCCCGTTACAGCTCTCTTCCAGCTCTTCCAGGTGCGTCAAGACAAAGTCCCAGGTTGATGCTACCATGCTTGTGATACCTTCTAGCACGCTACAAAGAGAAAGCAGGCTCTAGGCTCATCACCTCAACCACACCAAGCTGCATTTTAGTGATAGGGCTGGGGCTTCTTCAACTTCACTGAAGTGGTGTTTGTGATCGCCTTCTGTTTATGGCAAGGGATACAGATTTTCCATTTCTAGAGGAGATAACGAAGTTTTCTTTCTAAACAAATTCATAGAAGCAAAAAGTGTATGGCAAGGGATACAGATTTTCCATTTCTAGAGGAGATAACGAAGTTTTCTTTCTAAACAAATTCATAGAAGCAAAAAGATAAAAGAGATGATTTAAAGAAAATGCTAAGAATGCCAGGCACCGGGGCACGCACCTGCAATTCCAGCTACTCAGGAGGCTGAAGCAGGAGCTCGAGGCCAGCCTGGGCAACATAGTGAGACCCTGTGTCTACTAAATAAATAAATAAAATGCTAAATGCATGTGAATTAAGTGGCTTGAGGTGTGGAGGTGGTGGTGGAAGAGGCATTAAGGAAGATATCCTCAGGCAGTTCTTGAATGCCTGAAGCTTGTGAAATGCTCCTTTTCAAGAACCCAAGGACTCCTGTAACCCTAACACTTTGGGAGGCCGAGACAGGAGGATCGCTTGAGCCCAAGAGTTCAGTGAGTTTTGAGCGTGCCAGTGCATTCCAGCTCTCCAGGCTAGAATGAGCCAGGATAAATTCTAGGCTGCAGTGAGCTATAATCACGCCACTGCATTCCAGCCCTCCAGCCTGGGTGATAGAGCAAGACCGTGTCTCTTAAAAAACAACAATAACAACAACAAAAAACCAAGAACCCAGGGTATATGGCCCAGGGCAGCCATCCTATCCCTGAAGAAGCAAATCAGAGTCCCAGCCACCTGCCAAGACTCAAGAATATTCTGCAGGCAGCATGGATGGGGGAAGGAGCAGGGCCGCAGCCAGGACTCCCAGTCCATGTGGGGCCCTGTCCCCACCAGGTGATGGGCAGGGGTAGCTTTGGGCCTCACCACTGGGGTGGGACAGGCAAGCTTGTCTGGGGGACTGCCAAGGAGGGTGTTAGCCTTTCACCCCTCTGCCAAGTCCCCATGTGCCCAGTGACCTCCAAGGCAACCCCCACCCTCCTAGAGCTTTCGCCACCCAAGGCTACACCAAAAGAGCCCAGCTTGGACTTTCCTCAAGACCTGCGACCTAAGTCACTGGGTCTCAGGCCTGGTCGGTCTACACTCCCACCCCCACCCCGAGGGTGGACAATAGGAGTCAGGTGCACTGCGGCCTGGATGGCAAGAGCTGGCACTCACTTACAGACAATGCAAGGCCTTGAGCTAAGAGCACCTAACCCATTCTGAGGCACCGAAACGAGACAGGACCTACTATGCACAGTGGGGATCAAAACTGACCTCAATCAGGAGTTCAAGACCAGCCTGGCCAATATGGTGAAACCCCATCTCTAGTAAAAATACAAAAGTTAGCCTGGCGTGGTGGTGGGTGCCTGTAATCCCAGCTACTCAGGAGGCTGAGGCAGAAGAATAGCTTAAACCCGCAAGGTGGAGGTTTTAGTGAGCCAAGATCGCACCACTGCGCTCCAGCCTGGGCGACAGAGTGAAACTCCGTCTCAAAAAAAAAAACAAAAACAAAAACAAAAAAAAACTGACCTTGATATGTGTGACCCTCCTGGAGCTTATATTCAAGTCAGGGAGGCAGAATGAACAAGTCATTCTTATGACTTGTTCTTACGGAGAATAACAGGGATGGGGAGTGTGGATGGGCCTGCAGACAGGGTAGTCAAAGATGTCCCCTGGGAAGAGGGCAGCCGGGGGAAGAACATTCCAGGCACAGGGAACAGCAAGTGCAAAGACCTGGGCACAGAAGTAAGCCCAGTGCCTTCTAGAAGCATGAGAAAGGCTACAAGGCTGTTGTAGAGTAAGAGAGAGGGAGAGTGGAGGTGACACTGGAGAGGTTGGCAGTGCGGGATCCTGAGGCCAGATCCTGAGACAGGTTTTCTTTATCTGGAGCACAATGGGGAGCCTGAAGTCTGAAGAAGGGGAGCGACATGATCACTTCTTTTTTAATTGCTCCGGCTTCTACACAGAAGATGGAGAGTAGTGGGTCTGCAGCAGAACCAGTGGAGGCAGTAGAAGTCTACGCAGCCTCCCCAGTAAGAAGTGGCAGTGGAGATGGCACCTGTTTAGAGGGAGCACCAACAGGTCTCGCTAATGAATGGCATGAGGGTGAGGGAGAAAAGTATTTCTAAGTTCCTGGCATGTGATGCCGAAATGGTGCCATTTGCCATGATGGGGAAGACCAGGGAGGCAAAGAAGGGGAGAGTTGGGCCACCATAAATTGTCTGTTGTACATGGTGCCTGGGAGAAGCCTGCCGCCTATCCTGACGGAGCTATCCTGTGCTGGGTGGGTCAGGCATTGGGTCTGGAGTTCAGAAGAAAGGTGGGCGCTCACAACTGCCACGCAGGGCCATGAGCAAATGTGTGCTAAGTGGCGATGCCCAGGGTGTTCCCAGGGGCTGCTCATTCCTCTCCATCCCACAGCCCAGGTCTCCCTGCACACCCCGGGTACCTGCAGTGTCTCCGAGGCCTGGCTGGCCATGCCAGTGGTGAGGGAGGCCACCTGCACGGCTTGCTTGCGGGCAGCCAGCAGGATCCTGCAGTAGGTGAAGCATATGGCACCCGAGGGCAGGAAGAAGGTGAGGCCCGACGCCACGAGGACGAAGGGCAGGCTGGCCAGCAGGCGGCACTGGCCCGGGACTGGGGGCCGTGCGTGGCCCAGCTCGTGCCAGCCCAGCAGCAGGGGCAGGAAGGAGGCGAGCGCGGCGAGGCTCCAGGCGCCCAGGACTAGCGCCAGGGCACGCGGGGGCGTCATGCGCAGCTTGTAGCGCAGCGGCGAGAGGATGAGCAGGTAGCGGTCCAGGCTGATGAGGCAGAGGTTGAGGATGGAGGCGCTGCAGCACATTACGTCGAAGGCGGTCCAGAGCAGGCAGAGGCCGCGCGCCAGCACCCAGCGCCCGTATAGCGCGTTCAGCATGGCCGGCGGCATCACCACCAGCCCCACCATCAGGTCGGACGTGAACAGCGACACCAGGAAGAAGTTGGACGTGTTGCGCAGCGCGGGCTGAGTGCAGATGAGCACGATCAGCAGCGAGTTGGCCGCCGCCGTCAGCGCGATGACCACGCACAGCGCGGCCGCCACCCAGCC